TGCATTAAGTGTGGTATATTTGGTATAATTGATGAACCAATATTGATACATTATTAATTGAAGTCCATAATTTGTTTCATTCTTCATGTTATATGGGTTTTGCCAAATGCATGTCATGTATCCACCATTACAACATAACATAGGATAGTTTCACTGCCCTAAAAACTCTCTGTGCTCTATCTGTTCATCCCTCTGCTGCTTACTTGAACCCCTGGCCACCCCTGATCATTTTACTGTCTCTGTAGTTTTGCTTTTCCACAATGTCTTATAGTTGGCTGCATACAGTATGCAGCCTTTTCAGATGGGCTTGTTTCACTTAGCAGTATGCATTTAAGTGTCCTCCATGTCTTTTCATGTCTTCACAGCTCATTTCTTCTTAGCACTGAATAATATTCCACTGCTGAAGGACATCTTGGTTGCTTCCAAGTTTTGGTAATCATGAATAAAGCTTCTAGCAACATCCATGTGCAGGTTTTTGTGTGGATATAAGTTTTCAATTCCTTTGGGTAAATACCAAGAAGTGTGATCAAGGAATTATACGGTGAGAGTATATTTGGTTTTGTAAGAAGCTGCCAAACTGTCTTCCAAATTGGCTGTTACCATTTTGCATTCCCACCAGAAATGAATGAGAGCTCCTGTGGCTCCACATACTCACCAGCACTAGGTGTTGTCAGAGTTCTGGGTTTTGACATTCTAATAGATATGTAGTGGTGTCTTGTCTTCATTTGCAAATCACTGATGATGTATGATGTGGAACATATTTTCACATACTTATTGGCCATTTATATGTTTTCTTTGTTGAGGTCTCAAGATCTTTGGCTTTTTTTAAAAAAAACTGGGTTGTTTGTTTTCTTATTGTTGAGTTTTAGAGTTCTTTGTTTATTTTGGATAACAGTCCTTTTATCAGATGCCTCTTTACAAATATTATCTCCAGCCCGTGGCTTCTCTTTCTATTCTCTTGTGTCTTTCACAGAGCAGAACAATTTAGTTTGAATGAAGTTTAGCGTTCACGTATTGTGCCTTTGGTGTTGTATCTAAAAAGTCATCACAAAATCCAAGGTTTTCTAGATTTTTTCCCATGTTAATTCTAGGAGTTTTCTAGTTTTGTATTTTACATTTAGCTCTGTGATACATTTAGAGTTAATTTTTGTGGGTATAAGGTCTGTATCTAGATTCAGTTTCTTTTTAACTTTTTAAAAAATATTTAATTTTTTCAAAAGATTTTACTTATTCATTTTTAAAGAGAGGGGAAGGGAGGGAGAAAGAAAGGAAGAGAAACATTAATGTGAGGTTGCCTCTCACGCACCCCCTCCTGGGGACCTGGCCCACAACCCAGACTTGGGTTCTGACTAGGAATCAAACCTGTGACCTTTTGGTTTGCAGGCTGGCACCCAATCCACTTAGCCACACAAGCCAGGGTCTTTTTTACTTTTGCATGTGGATGTCTTATTGCTGTGGTATCATTTGTTGAAAAGACTGTAATTTCTCCATTGTATATTCTTTGTTCCTTTGTCAAAGATCAGCTGGCTATATTGAAGTGAATCTATTTCTGGTCTCTCTCTTCTGCTACACTGATCTGCCTATTGTCTTGCCAATATCGCACTGTCTTGATTACTGTAGTTTTATAGTAAGTCTTGAAGTTAGGTAATATCAGTCCCCTAACTTTGTTCCTCTCCTTTAGTATCATGTTGGCTATTCTGGATATTTTGTTTCTCTGTATAAACTTTAAAATCAGTTTGTCAATATCCACAAAATAACTTGTTGGAACTTTGACTGGGATTACACGTAATCTATAGATCAAACTGGGAAGAACTGATATCTTGAGAAGGTTTAGTTTTTCTATCCATAAATCTTTCCATTTATGTAGTTCTTTGATTTTATTCATTAGAGTTTTCCTTATATAGATCTTGTATATATTTTGTTAGATTTATACCTAAGTAGTTCATTTTTGGGGGTGCTAATGTAAATTTAATTGTGTTTTCAATTTGAAAGTCTACTTGTTTATTGCTGATATATAGGAAAATCATTAATTTTTGTATATTAACTTTGTATCCTGCAACCCCACTATGATCATTTATTAAACCCAAGAGTTTTTTTTTTTTACCACGTATGACATTTGTGTTGGCATATAACAATTTAAAAGGGTCCCCATTACATTACACATCCCACTGAGTAAGAGTCGTTGAGCCTTCTACATTTATTCTCATTGGGTAATTTTTTTCCCTCAAATTATAATTTAATTCCCAACACTTGATTTTTAACTCCGACAAAAGGGAACAATAGCAATTCCTTAAAGTAGGCTGTAATGGGAAAGACATTTTTGTCTTTTATATTAAAATTCTAAGATATTGAAAATATACACAAAGACTGAGAGACGACCTTCTTAAACATTTATTCTGGAAATACCCTTTGGTTCATTTTCATTTCCCTTCTTTAGGCAAAAGGGAATCTGTCAATGGAGGTTTCAAAAGTTATTATTTTCTGGCACTTGTAAACAAATATCCTTACCAAGAGAAACCATTTGACTTTTAAACCCGAGTCTTTTTTAACTGACTCTTTCAGATTTTCTGCATAGACCATCATGCCATCTTTGAACAAAGACAGTTTTATGTCTTCTTTTCCAATCTTATATGCTTTCTTTTCTTGTCTTGTTGTATCACCTAGGACAACTAATTTACTTTTGTTTCTATAAATTTGCTTGTTCTGGACATTACATATAAATGTAATCATACTGTATACAGTTTTTGTGACTGGCTTATTTCACTTAGTATATGTTTTTCAAAGTTTATTCATGTTGTAACATGTATTAATATTTCATTTCTTTTTGCTGCTCAATAATATTTCATTGTATATATCAGATTCTAGTTATCTATTCATCAGTTGATAGAAATGGGATTATTTCCACCATTTTGGCTATTATGAATACTACTGCTATGAAGATTCATAAACAAATTCAAACTCGTTGTTTGAACATCTGTTTTTTATTCTTTTGGGCATATACCCAGGAGTAGATGCCAGGTCACATGGTAACTGTATTTATTTACTCTGAGAACTGCCAGAATGTTTTTCAAAATACACAACACTTACTTTCTCACCAGCAGCATAGGAAGGTTACAATTTCTCCACATTTTCACTAATTTTATTCTTTTTGATTGTAGTAATCCTAACAGCTATGAAGTGGTATTTTGTAGTTTTGATTTGCTTTTCCCTGATGGCCAATAATGTTGAACATCTTTTCATGTGTTTATTGGCCACTTACATATCTTCACTTTCCTGACGCATGTTCTTTGAGGCACAAAAGTTTTAAATTTTGGTGAAGTCTAGTTTATCTAGACTATCTATTTTGTATTTTGTTGCTTGTGTTTTGGTGACAGATCTAAGAAACCACTGCCTAGTGCAGTGTTATGAAGATTTACCCCTATGTTTACTTCCAAATTTCCTAGTTCTTCTAGCTTTATAGTTTTAGGTCTTGGTAAAAAAAAAAAAATGACCATAAATGTGAGGATTTATTTCTGGACTCTCAATTCTATTCCATGGACCTATGCTTCTATCCTTGTACCTGAACCAGCATGTCTTGATAACTGTAGCTTGTAGTAAGTTTTGACATACGGAAGTTTGAAACCTCTAAAGTGTTCTTGTTCAAATTACTTTGGCTATTCTAGGTCCCTTGAATTTCCATATGGATTTTAGGATCAGTTAGTGAATTTCTGCAAAGGAGTCAGCTGGGATTTTCGTAGGGATTATGTTCAATCTGTAAATCATTCTGTGAGGTATTGTTATCTTATCAATATTAAATTTTCTAACTCATTGAACATGAGATATCTTTTAATTCATTTATATCTTCTTTAGTTTCAACAATATTTTTTAGATTTTGATCTGTGAGTTTTGCTCATCTTTTGTTGTATCTATTCCTAAGCATTTTGTTCTTCTCGGTGCTAAATGGAATTGTTTATTTAATTGCATTTTCAGATTCATATTGTTCATTGCAAGTATATAAACATACAATTGATTTTTGTGTATTGATTTTATATCCAGCAATCCTACTGAGCTATTAGCTCTAAGAGCTTTTTAGTGGATTCCTTCGGATTTTCTATATACTAGGTCATGTAATCTTCAAATAGAGATTGTTTTACTTCTTTTACAATCTGGATGCCTTATATTTCTTTTTTTTTCCACATTAGTATCTTTGTGGAAGATGAAAAACTTCTGAATAATTTAGAACTTGCATGTCTTGCCCCAGACTTACCATATGTGCTTTTCACATCCCTTTCTCCACCAAACCTAATCCCTAATTATTTTCTGCATATTGTGCAGGATGATTTTGTTCTGGTTATTTATCCCTCAGTTTAGTTTCTGTGTCTGTTTATTTGTCATTAAACACAGTTGCATTGCCTCCATTCCTGGTTTTGCTGTCATGCTAGCATTGTTCTTGTAAATGTTCTCATTTTCATTATACTAACTCTTACAAAATATGATCATGATATTCACAATGTTAAAAATTCTACCAGCATTATCTTGAAACAAAGCACAGCAGTTAATCCGTAGGTAGAATCAAAGGCAAAACTGTTAAAACTCAGAATTGCAATACAGTTCAGTTGAATAGTTAAGTTGCATCACTGGAAGTGAACCACAGTACTGTAATGGATAATCTATTATTGTGACTGCAAATTGTGGAAAACAGTGATTGACTTATGGAAGGTGGATCATCTATGCATATCCATTTGGCGTGATAAATATTTTGCTTTCAACTCCTATTTTGGGGGTCATTGCTGAAAAATGGGACTTTATGCACCTTGAAAGGTGTTTGCTGGTCCATGGTACTTGCAGGACAAAAGATGGAAAGGTGCTGGAGAAACTGAGACAGTTGGTCACTCTAACTCTGCTCCTCTGCAGGTCAAGGTTCTCCACACGAAGCCTGATGCGATGCAGCTCCCTGGCTCCCAAAGTGAGCTTAGAGAGCTCACTTTGTGACTGCTGGTTTGCTGTTTAACTTGTTCTAGGATAGGACCATGAGACTATGGAACATTGAAGAAATTGACAAAATTCCTTTGGTAATGGAGTACAAAAAGGCTCTGGGCTTAAAGGTGAGACAGGTTGGTATTGGGTAAAATTAAGCCCAATGAAGACTTTCATTAGTTACTACTACAAATTAATTTATTCTTTGAACAAACATTTATTGAGCAACTGGGGGTAAAACGATGAAAAAACAGATTGAAATCCTTGCCCTGAGGGAGTTTAAATTTTAAAAGAGGAGAAAAACAAAGATATGAGAAAAATAGTGGGTCACATAATGATAAGTAATTTGGAGAAAAATAACATAGGGAAGGGGAATGAGAGTGCTGGAGGTTTGCTCTACTTCAAAGGGTAGACAGGATAGGTCTTATTGAGAAGGCAACATTTGTTCAATCACTTGCAGTGGTGAAGGAGAGGGAGTGAGATGTGCAGATGTTTAGGGGAAGAACTTCCCAACAGAGGAACAGCCAGTGTGGAGACCCTGAGGCAGGAGTCAGCCTGATGTATTTGAGGAGTGGAGCGAGTGAGGGGGACTGGGAAATGAGGTCTGAGGGAACATGGGGCACATAGCTGGACACTGTGTGAGCCTCCTACACTCCAGCAGCAGACCCTCTGGCCAGGTCCTCAGTGCCCCATTTCCCATGGAAGGGGCTCAGGTGCCTGTTTCTCTAGCAAAAGATCATGGTGGTAGAGTGGACATATCTTCTGCTTTCCCAGATGCAGCCACAGCTGGTCACAGAGGTTCTCCCTGGGCAGTACAGGCCTGTCCCTGCTAGGACCACAGAGCAGACATCTGGCTGCCACTTTAAGAGGCTGAGAAGTTTATGCGGGGCCCTTGAGTTTTCCTTCCTTTAGAATCTCACAGCTACCTAGGCTTGTCTCCTCTTAGGAGGTCTGGCTGGGAGCCATTGCTTCTGGGAATGACTAATTTGGGAGCAGCACTGTAGGGCAGGGAAGTGAGGGGTGGGACCCACATGGACTTCATCTTCGTGGCCAGCTGGTGCTTATGGCCTTTGTGGTCATGTTGGCCCTCAGGCTCGGAAGCTGACTGGCTGCAAAGCAGTGCTTGCCTATGTCCTCCACTTGCCAGTGGGACCTGCCTCCTCTGAGCCCTGTCATTCTGGCACTGGGACATGAGAAATTATACTGTAGAATGAAGACAGTTTAAAAAAAAAAAGGCTGGGTTTTCTCAGAGGCCAGATTTCTCAGAGGGCCTGCTCCATGTAGGGTTTGCCCCATCTCTCCTGCAGGCCTTAGTGTCTTGAAATAGGCAAGGGTGGCAAAGTACAGGGGATTGGGGTGCCAGAGCAGGGACATGCCACCTTGCAGGCTTGTCTTAGGGGACTGAGTTGTGGTGAGGACTCCCAAGAGACCTCTTCCTATGGCCTGAGAGTCCAGCCCATGGTGACGCTCACTTGTTTGCGGGAAGCAGATGCAGTGAGTGTGGCATTCACTGTTCTCTGTGTGCTTTGGCCAGAATCAGGCTCTGAGATGGAGGAGGATGCTTAGCAACTTCATCATCTAGTAAAAATTCCTGCTTTATCAGAAATTTTGATTATTTGCTTCTCATGGTTTTGTAAAAGTGAGGTGTACCCAGGATGTCAAACAATTAGGATATCCCCTTGGCCCCATAGTTCTGCTCTGCACAGAGCAGAGGTTGGGGTTAGACCCCTGTGCCCGGTCCTCTCCACTGCCAAATGACTTGCCACTCCTGCCCCCAGGACCCTCGTGGCAGGGGACATGAGCTGGAAGAATCTGCATGACTTTTGGGAAGAAGAGAGGAAGAAGCCTGTGTTCATTCTCTCTCAGTGGCCTATAATTTCCACCCTTGTATGGGGAAAGATGCCAGAGAGGAGAAGAAACTCTTACCCTGACCTAACCCAAGGTGGTTGGATCAGGTGGGAGAATTCTAACTGCATGCCTTGATCCCTTCTAACTAGCACCTCCTTTCTGCTTTTAAATATTTCATGTTAGTGCGAAGAATGTGACAGGCCTTTCTTCACTTATGAAAGTGACATCTTTTCCGAAGGAGTCACCAAATGTGTGTTCTGCCGGACGGATACAAAAGACTTGTCAGCAGAGACCCCATCATTACCAGAAAAGGACTCCTCAGCAGGCGAGAGCAGCCGGGGCAAGGATGACTGATGGCCACCTGGCCGTTTGAGCGTCTTGAGTATAGGCCACCTGTCATGTAGGTTTCAGGGCTCTGCAGAGATCTTTCTCTGGGGCCCTTCCCTGGCTGGGTTGGGCCTATCAAAGGCAGGAGCCAAGCCCTCACTGGGCTCCCACCACCGTGCCACCTCCTCAGCATTTTTTTTTCTTTTTCCACAGCACACTTATTGAATGGGATTGGATGCTTTGTTTTTAGTTTTTAGGCAGAATAAACTTAGAGCCTTTTGGAAAACTAATATGCATGTGAATTCCAGAAGCATTTTTGTTATTTATAAGCTTATGTCTTATTCATCCAGACACATCTGGATTCCCATTCTAGTCTCTGGAGTTGCCCTGTAAGGCAGCCCTCTGGGGCTGGCACTAGCAGCCTCTGAGGAAGGGCTTGTGGAATGAAGAGGAAGTTGTGTGAGGCCCCCTCTGTGGAGGATACTGTGTGGATCCCTCTCTGCCTAATGCTTCCAGATGGCCACCTGCCCATAGCAGAGGACGGTCTGGTTAGGCATATGGCGGGCATTTTCATCACAGAATGTTTCATGCTGTCCATCCCAGACTTATCAATTTCCAGCATGCCTCTCCCTGCTCCCACAGCATATCTACAACACAATTACTTCATAAGTGAAGGTTTCTGTTGACAAACATAAAGGGCTTCCTTTTGCATTTGGTATTGCTCACATGATTTCCATCAAGTATCATTCATAAGCCCCTTGGTCCATTTTAAAAACCTAATTGTGGTACTGCTTTATTTAGTGTTAATTGACTGGCATCCAATAATTCTGCTCAGGAGCACCATAACCTTATAGTCATTCTTTGGGTCAAGTCCTGTGCTTTGTGATGCCCTTCTCAGTCACAACCCTGGTGACTGCTCAGACTCAGCTGGCTGGTCAACAGTTATCCATTTATGGAATGATGTATGAACATGTCAAAATTCTAACTCGTGCTCTCTCAGCCATTCAACTCTCCTTCGAAGAAAAGTCCTATTGCTTGTGGTCTCCATTTTCCGACACATACACGTATACTACTTTTTGCTGTGGAGGACGGGTGGGCTACGTGCACCAACACTGCCCTCATTGATGGGCACTTAGGTTGTCTCTCATTTGTTTGCTATTACAAATAATAACAGAATGAATCTTCTTGTGCATATAATTTTTTTCCCTAAAATCTACATTTCTGTGGAGGAGACTCTCCCACCCAAGTAGATGCTGGGTGAATAGATTAGCAGGGTATGGTTTTATTGATGCTCAAAGGCCTCGATAGTGTTGGGACAAAGTGGCTGATATTTCTGAATAAGGAGACCCAGACTGGGCAAATGACAAGCCTGGGTAGGTAGGGACTTGCCTGGCAACAGAATCCTCCCCATGAATGGTGTTGGTGCTCCAAGGCCAGCAGCCCCGGTCCCGTGAAGCTCTCGATGCCTGTATCCCCGGACCCTTCCCCTCTCAGGGTCTGCCGGAGAAGAAACACAATTGAAGGTCTGAGTCTGGTCTCGACCGGCAGGCAGATGAGCCTCCAGGATAACAGGGCCTTCGATACCAATCGTTAGAGTGCGGCCGAGGTGGCCTACTAAGGAGGGCTCCAGTGCGATGGGTCCGATGCGTGGTCACCGTGGGACCACCTCGGGGTGTGCGCCCTGACACATCGCCGCTGTAGCCCGCAGCCCGGCCGCGTTAGAGGGGCGGGGATCCCCGGAGCGGGAGGGAACTCGGTCTCGCCGGACAGCCTCGTGGAGTTTCCTGTGCCAGCTCTGGAGGGCAAAAGGCCCGGAACTTGAGTTAATATTCTCCAAAGAAGGAAGCCACCCCGGCCTCACGGCCCAACGAGGACACTAAAAAGATCCGAAAGAGAACACTGCCCCGGTCCAGCACACCGTGCACTGCGCGAACTTCGGACCTCGGTGCCCCCCGGTTCCACCTCAGCCACTAATTTGGGCAAAAGTCTATCTCACGCATGCGCTGGGCGCCGACAAAACTTGTGCGCATGCGTGCGACTGGTGGAGTAACTACTGATGAGACATAGATTCTCGCGGTACCCGTGCGGGCGGCGCCGTGGCTTAGTTGGTTAAAGCGCCTGTCTAGTAAACAGGAGATCCTGGGTTCGAATCCCAGCGGTGCCTCAACCGAGCGTCTCGGCTCACTTTTTCCCAATTTCCAGTTTTGCTCGGCCCCTCAACCATTCTCACCCCGATTTGGTGGTGTGAACTGGGTTCTGAGGAATCATTTTGGCCGACCCCATGCCAGCGGGATGGGCCTTAGCCCTCCTTGAACTCAGCTTCTCGGGTCTCCGGGAGCTGTAGCACATCCTCCAGTCGGGCAGCTGTGCACAGCAGACACCCACAAGAGGCGTCGCGGGACTTCCAGGTTGCAGCGGTGTGTGAGGAACCATGGAAACACTCCCACCTCCGCGACCACGGCCTGGGGCGGGGCGGGCGGGGGCGGAGCCGATAGTCCCGGCGGTTGCTGTGGGTGCGCGAGGACACGGGGATCCTCTGACGATTTCTCCGGTTAGCGGCAGGCTGCACGCCACGCCTTTAGCCTCTTAAAAGTCTGCTGACTTTCTCCTCTCTCACCCCTGCAGTCGCTGCCACTGCTTCACAGATGGAAGACTGGGGTTTAGTGAGGTCAAATGAGGCCCAAAGTCAGGGGCGCCAGGGAGAGCGGAGGATTGAATACGGCCTATGTGTCCACCAGGCTGATCTTGGGAGAGAACGGATCAAGCAGTACTGTGAGTTTGGGGCCAGCTTCTCTAGAGGGTCAGCTCTGAGCCTACGCCCTAAGGTCCGGGCTGGGTGAAAATACAACGTCGGGGAGCCTGACCCAGAACAATTGCATCGAAGTCTCTGGGGGCGCGAAGAGGCACTGGAATTAAACAAAACAAAACAAAACAAAAACGTTACCCAGGAATCTTCATGTGAAACTCAACAAAGTTCATGTCAGTTGCAACAGGACAGTTTCAACGAGCTGTAGAAATTGCAGCTATGGCATCAGCCTGTGTTCCCAGTAGTCAAATTCACCTGCCCCAGAATCAGCTCTTCTCTGTGTTTCACCCATGGGTCCGAGTTTATTATCTGCTTTTTAAATTTTGTTTTGGGGTCAATTTCTTGCGCTTTACAGGTTGGTTATTTTAATTGACATTGCAAAGAACAACTTGTTGCAGTTCTGATAGAAACATCAGAGATGAGTTTATTTGTAAGTATTTTTCTGGCACATCTTTACTGCTACCCTGAGGTACTGAGTTGGCCAAAAAGTTCGTTTGGTTTTTTTCTTTCCCCCCCTGTAAAATGGCTCTAAGTAGCTCTTAGCTGTCTTTAACTTCATTCGAAACAATTTTGTTAGATTGTATTATGACAGCTGTCATATCAGCATACATTTAAAAAACCTTACTAAAATTGGTGAATTTTTGTGTAGCTATTTTAATAGTGAAGATGGAAGAAAATATGCAATTTTTTCGCATATTATGCTTTATTATTTTAAGAAAGGTAAAAATGCAACTGAAACTTAAAAAAAAAAAAAAGATTTGTGCTGTGTATGGAGAAGGTGCTGTGACTGAGCCAATGAGTCAAAAGTGGCTTGTGAGAAGTTTTGTGTTGGAGATTTCTCACTGGACAATCTATGGTTCGGTAGACCAGTTCAAATTAATAGCGATCAAATGGAGACATTAACCGAGAACAACCAGCTTCTACCGTGCGGGAGATAGCTGACATACTCAAAATATCCAAATCAGTGAGATTATTGGTGAAAATGATGACTGTGTCTTTTATTTTACAGAAAAAACTAAATGGACTTTTTGAGCATTCGGCTATTAGGTGGCCAAGGGGAGAGGTTTAATTTCACTCAATTTTTTTTTAAATTTTTAGTTTTCAGAGTATAAGTTTTGCACATTTTTGGTTTAATTTATCCTTCAGTATTTTCTTCTGTTTGATGTTATTGTAAAAGGAATTGCTTTCTTAATAGAATTTTCAGATTGTTAATTGCAAATGTATAGAAATACAGTTGATTTTGTATTTTAATCTTAAATCCTGCAACCTTACTGAATTCTTTTATTCTAATAGGTTTTTAGTGAATTCCTTAGAGATCTTCTATTCCCTTGGATTTTCTGTATACAAATTCTGTGTTCTGTGACTAGTTTTACTTCTTTTTTTCTCCCATTCTGAATGTCTCTTATTTTATTTTCATGCCTAATTGCTTTGTCTAGAACCTCCAGTACAATATTAAATAGAAGTGGTGAGAGCACACATTTTTGTTTTTTTTTCTGATCTTAGGGGCATCCAGTTTTTTGTACCACATACTTTATGAAATATGATGTTAGCTGTGGATTTTTAATAGAATCCTTTTATCAGGTTGAAGAAATTCCCTTTGATTCCTAATTTGCTGACTGTGTTGTTTTTTGCTTGTTAAGATAATTATATGTTTTTTATTTTCTATTCTACTGATATGGTGTATTACATTAATTCATTTTCAGATGTTAAGCCAATGTTGCATTATTTGGATAATTTTCATGTGTTTTTAACATAAATGATCAACATGTTATTTTTGAAAGTCTTTCCAGATGGTGCCCTTGGTCTCTTTATATTCTCCTTTACCACTTCCCAGGGGTCCTGGCTTGGCTGTGCATCTGTTACCTGACTCAGAAGACCCCTCTCTTGCTGGTGGACATTGGGGTGGTATGGGTTTTCTTTTTTTCTGAATGTCACCACAATAGACAAAGCTGGGATGGCACTTACCTCACATGTAGGTTTTTTTGTGCTGGAATTTTTCTGTTTTTAATTGATTTTAGACAGAGGGAGGAAAGGGGGGGGGGAGAGAGAGAAACACTGATGTGTCGTTTGACTTATTTGTGCATTTTTTGGTTGATTCTTGTATGTGCCCTGATCTGGGATAAAACCCACAACCTTGGTGTATTGGGATGATGCTCTAACCAACTGAGCTGCTAGGCCAGGGCCTATGTGCATGTGAGCTTTTCAAAGACAAAGTTGAGAG